GACCTATGACCATGGATGGATCTGGATGCTCATACTATCCACTTCTAGGGACCCTGCTAGGGACCCTGCTACCCACAATGCCTTTCTTGGGAGGATGACGTGTTGACAGTAGTAGAACTTATAGATATTCAGGCAGAAACTCTTTGGAACACATCCACATCATCCACCGAATCCTGAATCACGAAATCAGCTATATAAATACACATTCCTACGTAATGAGAGCTGTTGGAACATCAAATAACATCTAACATGTGTTCTTTTTCAAGGACTGAGAAACAAACATCAAGAACGTTGCGAGGCCGCATTTCTCGTTGGTGCCAGCCAGTTCCAGAAGCCTGCGTGCTCGGGGCGCCATCTGCTCAGTCACATCAATCAGAGACTCGGTTCGGCCGTTCTCGCAGTCCAAGTCGTAGATGGGAGCGTCCATGGCAGCCACAAGAAATGAAGTGAGAACGGTAAAGTATGCATGCTGCAGATTTAGTTGTGCGGTGTACTTGCTTCGGGCTACCATTTTTGGGGGGGGATGTGGTTATCAAGAAGGACACGTGACCAAGAAATCTATATGTTTTCGGGCTTTTGGAGCTACAAATCGTCTGACAGGGGGGGCAGGTGTGCGTGTGTGACGTGGTAACGCTTCCGAGGCCATTTTTTGGGTGTACGTCTTTGTGCGGGTGGTGTACCTAATCATGACTCCTGGAGAGCTAGCCCACAGATTTGCCGATTGATCATCTGGATGTCAACAACTCAATGACCTTTATATACAATGACGTTTAGTTGATCATCTGGAGTTCTCTGACATCATCTGGGTTCTCTGACCTTTATATACAATGACGTTTGAACAACTACAGCTATTGGCCCTTTCAAGGCATGCAAGCATGCATATTTTGGTTGGCTGTTCAATTCCGAGCTTTCAATGGTATCCACATGCCTTTGCAACTTTGGTACACGTTCCCGTATTCTTGCCTTGCTTGCCTACATCCCAAATACTACGCGGGGGGACAAGACTCTGAGCACAGTCAGCATGGTTTTTCTGGGCGTGGGATGGGGAGGGTGACGAGGGAGCACGGGCCAGGAGCCCTAGGGCATACCACCTCCGAACTCCGAACAGTGTTAAAAGAGGTATGGCCAATCTCTCCAAATATCTCTCCACCCGAAGGAAGGGCTGGTTGGACTCAGCCAACGATCCGCAAGGTGTCTGCCACAAAAGGTGCAATTAAAGTTAAGCACAAGTCCTCGACAAAGCATGCAAACCCTGTGATGCAGCATCGTCGGCAAATGGTAACTCACAACAACATCAAGCATATGGCCATTCAATTCCCAGTCCATCACCACCCCATCTTCACACCATCCATGCACAACTCTTAGAAGTAGTTAAATCTGCGACATGCTTCTCCACTGCCGCTCTACTTATATACGTACCGTCAAGTACAGTCCTGAAATTCAAGACCGCTCTTTGCTAATCGTTGTTGCTCATTTGAGATCACTGGGTCACAAGACGCTCTGCTGGCACCTTGGCTGCAGCTTTGGGGCTCAGCGGCATGCTCTCCTCCTCCTCGGCCGGCACCGGAGAGGGCCGGAGAGCGTTCTGAGAAACGATCAGCAAACTCATTTTGGTTATATGTTCTTTTTTAAATGTTTGTTTTGGTCGCTGCGGATCATGTGCAGGTTTTGGCGTGCGTTCCGCGCTACTTTGCAGTCGTTTTGCCGTTTGCGCTGATGTGCGGCGGTTTGCCCGGGTCAATTACCAAAACTACCAGAATTTGTTGGTCTTTGGAAGATTCAGTTTTAGCTTTTTATGATAGGCTCAAACCAGTAATCCCGTTTCCAACACATTGACAATGAAAAAATTATTGGTCTTGATACTGCACCACAAATGTGTGCTTGATGGACTTTGTGTGATTAATTATACGGTTCATGGAAGCAATCCTGATCTGAAAGCGGCATAAGTAGTATGCGCCTCCGGGTAGAGCGGGCTTCAACAGTTGGGCATCGAACAAACTTCCTGACAGCCCTGCCATCTTCCACAAAGAAACTTTAGTAGTGAGTGCCAGCTGCTACCAATGCCGCTGTGTTTGTGCAAAAAATAGCCTCCTTGTGCAGTCTTCAAACATGCGGGAATAATTTGGATTGAAACCTGAAGCCAAAGGCAGTAGCATTCTTGTAGCAGCCCAGCAAGGCCTTTCAACTGGGAACTACCTGCGACCAGAGTAAGTCACAAACCTAAACTCTGTCCAGCAAGCCCTACCAAACCCAGCTCTTTAGGGCCCTGGCTGCTAGGCGCAGCTCCCCGCGTTCGCCCCCAAAACCCTTCCCGTTGCACGGCCTTCAGCGCCTTCTTCGCCTCCTGCAACTGTCGAGTGGCTCGAATTCTCTCGGAAATCTTGCCGTTCAAAAGCCACACATCTTCCCCCCCCCCGTCTTTCTCGGGTCTCTGTCATGGCACCGGGAAAAATCTCGCGCGGGACGAGCAAGCTGTTCCATCTACTTGACGCCTGGCACAACGAAAGGCATGCTAAAGGAAAGAGCCATGTGGTGAACAGCCCATAGCAACCCACCTTGGCTGTTGATACCCTGCAATACGTTTGATTATGAGTGCGCCTTCCGCGGGTCTTTTGCATGGGCCTCGTTCCTAGTCAAACATCCTGTTCCTGCAACACGCTTCAATTCCCCAAAGCCAATCATCACCCCAGCACTCTTCTCTTGCTGGCCTCCTTCTCTTGCTCCAATGTCCGTTCCAATTCGGCCTGGAGCCGGCGATTGAAAACAGAAGTCTCCTTTGGTGGGGCGACTCCAAAAGACCTGTGCTCTGTGCTCAGGGTTCACATGTTAACACTCCTTTCTATCCCCCTCTCCCAGTCCCTGAACAACCAAGACATGATGGTCGACTCCTGGAAAGGCACAGTAGACTTAGTAGACCAATAGAAGAAATACGAGTCATTGTCACAACAGTGGTTGCACAAGAGATGCCCACCTTGGTCTTCCATCCCGTTTTCGCCTTTCGGTTCACGTGTCGACTGTCAGGCCATCTTCCCTCATCCTAAGAGACTTGGCTGTAGACGGCACCAAATCGCATCGGTCCTGTCTCTGTTTCCTCCCCTTTGCAGCTGACGTGGGGCCCCGCCCTGTGCCCCGAGTTCCACACCGCCCACTTCATCCAGGGGTGCTCCAAGGCCATTAGGATCGGTATGCCTCGCTCCGCGTGCGGAAGGGCCAAAACCGTTTGGTACACGAGCGACGATGCGCCGATGAGGCGAATGGAGTCCCGAAGGAATGGATCCGTGTTGAGGCAAGGAGCATCTGAGAGCTGTCATAGAACCACACAGGAATGATGCAGGAAGAGTGCAACGACGTCCCAAAACAAGGGGGTCTCGTTCAAAATCACCCTTCAAGTCAATCACTCTCCTTTCAACGCCTTAATTTATATAGGACCTTTCTTGCTGCACGTTGTCAACGGACCTTTTTGCTCCGCTTGGCTAGTCCACCAGCACGGGCCATGTCACCTCCAAGGTGGTTGGCAAAGAGACACGCAGGCTTCTGCTCTCAGAGACCTCGTACTCCTGGGAGCGCAAGGTGCACAAGCACGCGCACGTGCGCCAGAACTTTGGAGAAAACAAAGTCAAACAGATTGTTCCATACATTTACCATAGAGCCCTAGGATTCCAACCACCGGACTTGGTTCTTACCGTTTCTTACCGAGCAACAGTTGATTTACTAAGGATCTTGGACTACAAAGCCAGGTCAACAGGTCAACCATTCCTTGATTGGTCTTGGAAGGTCAGGGTATACTTATTGGTTCTAGTATGGACTTTGATTAAGGAATGCTTGGATGGTCTAGAGATGAAACAAATGATTGGCCTCTATCCAGGTCTGGAGATTCCCAAAACGCCCTCCCACAGAAGGGACGCCGGGACGCCAAGTGACAAACCCCAGCTGCATCTTCAATCAAACCAACCATCTCTGGTGAGTCCTATGATTTTTGAGTGAGACCAAAACAACATTTAAAAAAAAAAAAACAACTTAGTAAATTAAAGCACCTGCAGTCACAAAGGGGTGCTTAATGGAGGTTAGGGGTGCCCATTATCCACTCACTTGGGGACTGAACACCACCCCTTTGTGACTCCTGGCAAAACAAACCATTTTGCCCAGGAATCCCAGTCGTGCTTCAGCATGGCCATTGAGACCTGAGGCCGTCGACCCATCGACACATGATACTGCAGTGAGAGGCCAAACGACTGCGGGAGGCTAGATCTCGAGTCACTGTTTCAGATTCATGATATCCTCCATATCCTCCTGCTTTTTCTTGCTGGGGCTTGCGGAGGGTTGGCTTCCACATCGTTTCCCCCCTTGACTTCTGCTCGCAATCGCACACGTAGATGGCCAGTATACCATTGGTCTGTGCATACCCTAGATTTATGACGAACTACAGGAGCCAAAGGGCTGATTTCAAGGATGTGATTATATAATGTGTTATTGATGTTTTTTGTTTATATAATCCAATTATATGGTTTATTTATTTGTTAACTTTTTATTATGTCCCAAGGGTTTACCAAAAAATTGTTTATGATGTGTTTAACAGATTGTTTTATGACATGTTTTGGTTGGAAGGATTTGGGAGGATTCGAGCCGCCATTGGAGTCCATTCGGGGGGCTCCTTGCTTGAGCGCCCGGAGGCGACGGAAGAGATGGCACTGGCACACCATGTTCTGAACAGATGGGGGTGTTCACCACCTCTTGGGGCCTGTGCCATCTACTCTCAATCCATCAAACATCAATACACATCAACAAACACATCATACATTTATGTTTGTTTGTCTTTCATTGGAGTCCATTCGCGGACTCCTGAGAAACAGCGTCCAGATGTGAAGGAAGAAGGAATCATACATGAAACTATAAAGCAATTCTTCAAAACATATATAAGTATGGATTCATATATGTTTGATCTTGAAACAAATCATTAACACACATGCCTGTGGCTGGCCACTACGTCTTAACCCTAGGTCCTAGGTGCGTCTGCAAAAGGAAAGTCTAAACATGAAACATCCAGTTTCAGATCGTTTGAGCCGCACATTGGTAGAGAAGGAACAGGGGCTCATCTTCCACCCTGGCACTTCCATCCCACGCCGTCTTCGCCGTCTGACCGCCGTTCTCAACCGAAGCGCCACGGCGCCCAGCACGCAGGTGACACATTGGATCCACAAGACGCCAGGGATACCCATGGAACTCTCGCTGATGGGATCAAAGATCAGAGTGCCAACCACTGCGCCCACCTTCCTGAAGAGAAGGACCAACGGACAGACCGGCAGCCGTTTTTGGCGTTTTTTGATTGGTTGTAGGGGCTGGCCTACCTCCGTTTGGTTGGTTATGGTGCGTGCCAACGGGGGGGGGGTGATGAGCGGGGTTCCAAAGGCCGAAGGACTCACGCGGGACGTGCGAGTCCAAGGACTCAAGCGAGCTGGAAACATGTGGGAAAGAATCGAACAAGCTCGGTCTGTATTGGTTTGGGAAAGTATCAAATGGCAAGTCCTCCCGCCACCCTCTCAGTCTGTGGCTTGAAGAGTGTGCTGGCAGGGGCTTGCAGGTTCCCCTCACCCCAACAAAGACTACTGCCATGGAAGATCAGTGCCATTATGAATCAGGCAGTTCATCCAGCAAATGAGATACGAAGTGGTACGACTGAGGGCTGATGCTGGTAGCAATTGCGTATAAGCGCCGTGTGTATCCGTGTGACACTCCCTTTTCTCACACCACTCACGAGTGGACTCGGAGTGGACGCTGAGGAATTGTTGCTGTGGAGAAACAGCAACAATAATGAAGTACCGATTGATACCACCTGTGCCGCATGAGTTATTTGGTCGATTCCTCCTCAAACGCTGGGCCACGTCGAAAAAACATGCTGCAGGTGCAGGTAACAAATCATTCACGATCATATTTGGTTGAGGTATCCACTGAAACCACCCTAGGTGATCATGCTTCCACGCCCATGACATGGATCCCAACCCAGAAGCCACTCCTATTTTCCCTCCGAGTCTCCCCCCCAGTACTGGAGAGCCCATGGCATGTGCTACGGATCGCGGCTGGAAAGCACAAGGCTGGCAAGACGTAGGTGCCCAGATTGGGTCCCCAGTTCAGCAAGAGCGTCACCAGGCAGAAAAGAACCTGGTAGCGGTTCGGAGTTCGCAATGGATTCTGTATCAGGAAGCCACAGGCTGTCTCACCAAACCTTTCAACCTGGATTTGAGTGGGAAGACCTATTTCCACAAAAAGTGATCCACTCACTGGGGACTTTGGAAAATCGGCCCCACAGGAAGCAAGATTTGAGGTGTCACATGGTGTCACCAGAATGAACATTGGACAAGTTGGGGGCGTTGAGAGTTTTTGTGGTTTCTCATGGTTTCTCTGTGGCTTGGGTGGGTCCTAGTCCTAGGTCTGAAACACATGACATAGTTACAGTATGCTACAGTAATTACATATCAAAAGGTCTCAAGAATCTCCCCTACACTAAGTCTATGATCAGCTGTCTTGCTGTCAGGCAAGTCTATGATCAGTCTGCATCGGTCTCAAAAGCCCCGCGGAGCGAATGAGCTGGACATATATGCATGCAGCATTGCATGTAGAAACCGGGCTTGCTATGCCACAGCCTTGTCAAGTGTGGTTTAAAAAAAAAACACCTACAACTAGGTTCACGGAGTGCTCTTGTGCCAAGGCCCTGGCAAGTGCTTGTCCTGGCAAGTGCCACTGACAGGTGGACATGGGATGTTCGATTCCTTCCTGAAGCTTGGACCGGTCATGATGCTCCAAAAGTGCCTGACGTCTTTCGACCCCCCTATGGGCCCCATGGGGGGGGCGGCCATTTCTGCATACTTCGTGCGCCAACTCTTCCGCCCTCGCAGACTCACTTCTTCCGCCGCGGCACGAAGTGCCAGGCGTGTGCGTCGGGCGCCAGGTGCCAGGCCAAGGCCAGGAGGGCGAAGGAAACGCTGAGGAGGATGAAACCATAGCCTCAGTGGGATCGGAGTCACTCCACCACTGCACCACTGGAGGATGCTAAAAGGAAATCAAACACTCTAACACATTGAAACATCCGCCGATTCAATTCAGACGGTTGATGCATGAATAAAGGACCCCCAAAGTGGACGGTCGAACATCTTCAAATTGAGGCTTCTCAATCAACCAAAAATTGTTGAAATTGATGAAGAGGCATGTATTTGCTCACTGCGTTCGGAGTCCCAACGAATCGCTTCATGTTGGTCTGTTCTAGGTTAGCCTTTAAGCCCTTGGGTTGCAGAAAGGAAGTCCTTTTCAAGGCGAACATCTTGCGTGTCTCGACTTCCAGTTCGCCTCGAGCCACGGTTCGTGGCCAACAACTTCCAAGTCGCCCGTGTCAACTGAGTCGTAGTGGGGCCGTGAAACTCCGATTTGCCGGGTCCGGCATCCACTCCACATGCGGGGAGCCTACCGAACTGAGAACGCTTGGGGGGTAGTTTAGTTCAACACTCCTTGAACAAGCCTATTTCGGACCTACCTCCCCCTGCCATCAAGTTGGACCGTCATCCTCAGGGGTAGAAACTATGGCAAAATTCCTGCGACATCATGCTTCAATCTTGTGTCAATTAGTGGTTGGCTTTCTAGCATCGGCTTTCAACCGACCACGTCCGTGGAATGCCACCACTTTCGTTCACTGAACACGGACATACGCGGACTCCCCCAACCAACCAAGGAGCTGTTCAGGCGCTTGCAGCCGAGACGATCAGCCACCAGCACCGCCAGCAGCGAGCCTGGGATGCCTGCGCTGTGCGAAGAATGCAAAGAAGGCGTTCTTGTGGGGCCACAAAAGGGGAACCACTAGCAGTTTGCGTCCACTATATAAGTGGTTCAAAAGGACATGAAAAAGGGAACTTTGCTTGTTCCCAGTTGCCTTGAAATGCAAATTGTTCGGGGTCTTGAGTCAAACAGTCAAACATGTCAATATAAGGATTTCAGTATACTTCAGTGGTGTCGAGCAAAACATGGGAAACCCTGGGGATCTACTACTACCAGTATGTAAATTGTTCAATAAATCGAATAAATCTTATTCTGGGGTTGCGGGAGTGATGAGATTGTCTCCTGTCTGCAGTGTGCTGGAAAGCAGGTTGGTGTTGTCAGGAGTCGAGTCACACCCATGTTGTTCACCTTTTGTTTGAATTTAATTCTGTGTGCGACTCCGTGTGTGTAACAGGGTCAGAGCTCGCAACCAAGAGTGCCAAATGAAATGAAATATAGATAAAGGGAAAAAAAACCTAAAATGTGCACCACCTAAACTACATCCAAGGTCAAAGGCATTGACCACTCATTTTCGTTATCAAGAGGTCACTCCACCATTGGGTGGCGCATACCCTTTTCAACCTGTGCTTGGAAATCCTTTTTTTTCTCGGCGCTCTGTGAATACCAGGATATGAACATAGACTGTTGATATCCCCTGTGGAATTACCGGTGTACCTTGGGACGTGATCAGTGATTTTACGAATTTCAGGCTCCGAGGACAGCTTGCCCCACTATAGAATCACATATCAACCTTCTGCAGTGTTGGAAACATGTTCTCTATAGAATGAGGTGCCTCAGGGTATGGGTTTCATCATCATGAAACATGATAGCACAACATGTGGAAATCAATGATGCATAGCCAAGGTTGGTATTGATTCTGTAGAGAAGTGTGGGGTAAATTTTAGGAAACACATGACGCAATGCAGGGCTGAAGGTGATTAGAAAATAATGTTGGTCAAAAGTTGCCCAAGAGGTTGGTTTTGATTTTACAGAGACATGTTTGGACAATGCAGGGTAGATTTTAAAAAAGTCTTGCACATAAGTGGCCCAAGAGGCTGGTTTTGATTTTGTGGACACATGTTTGGATACAAATGTTGGCCCATGTGTCCCATGCGTTAAAACAATGATTTTATAGAGGGGTGATTTGTGCAATGTTAGGACCTTCATCTGGTGACATGGCGTGCCCTCTCTATAGAATGAAATGTCGGCACCCATGTTGCGAGAACAAACTGAATTTCTTGGACCCCATGTTTAGGATGTTGTGTTTTCCAGGTAGGTTGATATTTAAATTCTATAAGAAAATCGTCTATAAAATCTGAGGGTCATTTTGAGCTCAAGCGTTCAGATTCTATAGAGTACATTCGGCAGGGGGGCCTGTTGATCAATACAGCCTCCCTAACAGAATGGTTTCACATCAGCATACGGGGTGCTTCATTGATCAAACGTCCGTTATCGTCTCACCGAGTTGGATGCATCGAGCCATTCGCATTCTGCCAGGCAGCCCATGGCGGAGATCAGCGCGGATTGCCGCGACGTCTGGAGAAGCGTCTGCTCGCAGTGGCCACTTGGCAAGCGGTCGCCCGTGATGCACAAGCGCTCCAAGATCCTCGGAGAATGTGGGTGTGAACCCACTTGACCACCAACAACGAGGTTTGCCGCCCGCTATATATAATATATAATAGTATAAAAATAGTATATAACCATATATACATACGTATCACAACCCCTAGCTGAGCATGATGATGTTTTCGGTGTCAACAGCGTTATGGACCCCTACGTTTTTGGCGTTTTAGGACCTTCCGCTACTGATGCCGTTGTTCCGTGACCACACCATACCATAGTCTGACGTTCTGTTTGCCGGAGGGAGGTTGGTTGGGTGAGGTGGGTAATGATGTTTTCTTCATGTACTTCATCTCCGTCCCCTTTTCATGCACTACATGTTCATCATTGTTTCATGAACTTATTATTCATCTTTGCTGACTAAAATTTGAACTAATTCATGAACACATGAACCATAAAGTGGTTCAGTAGTTATGGTAAAAACGGCGGGAAACTTGTGCGCCGTTGTGTCCACTTAGTAAGACAAATACTCTGCGGCGCTGCGGTTCTCTGTGGGACCATTTTTGATCTGTGCAGTCGTGTGCCATTGCGGCGAAAGCGCAAGAAGGACGAAAAACGTGTGGACCCTCTCAGTAGGTTTGACAGCTCGAAAGCCATCCACGAATCATGCTTAATTACGCACTTTACTTTAATGAAGACCGAATGTTCAAAAGCACAGGGGCCTGCACCACCGTTGTTGTCACCATGTTGTTGCTTGGCCAACCCCTGTGGTAGCAAATGAGAATATAAGGAGAACGTAATGGGCGATCACGTGTTCATGGTTGAGTGCCTGAAATCCGCCGACCTTGGTCTAGGCCGATGAACGTGAGCGTGAGTGAGCGGGGCCGGTGTGTTCCTGTTGAAGGACTCCGGTGAGTGGTGGACTATGGTGGACTATGTCACGCTGCCGTCACATTGACAAACACCTGCCAAAGTACTCCCGCTTCAATGGGACGCCATAGGTGGTTTGTGTTCGGCAAGTTGCCACTTTCGCCGAAGAAAAGAACCGAACGAAGCGGATAGTGGGGCATGTGCGGCCTTAGAAAAGCGTTGAGAATGTGTCGGAGAACTTCTCCGGCGTGGGCCGGGCGCGTGGGTGTGGCTTCAAATTCGATCTGCTAAAGAATGCCGCCGGGAATTGGGGAAACATCAACTCAAAGCCGGTTGTTGAAGAGCCCCCCTGCATGAGGTGGAAGCACCACCAAAGGAGACATGTTTGCAAATGAATTTCAGTGCGAGATATATTCCAGCATCCATCGATCAACAAGTTGATGAATCATGATGAATTAAAGTACGTTCATGACTCTCTACCAAACCAGGAGGGAAGTCTCATCTTCCACATATTCCACCACTTCTAGACCACTCCACTGTGGGCCTCCGACCACTCTCAGGGGTCAGTGGGCAGCGGGCGCTAGCCCCCCTAAATAAAGCAGGCTTCACCATGATACAGTGACACATGTTCACAAAGGTCCAGATTCAGGGAATGCTCCTTTCATCAAATGACATCTCCATGTTGCGTCGACCCAGTTCAGAACACCGGCATCTGCCATAGAGACTTGGTCCGGCGTGCCCGTGGTGACACCCTGGCCCAGCCGGCCTTGCTCCACTGTGGTCCACATGCTGCATGCATGCTTGTTCAATTTGTTTGGGAGTTGTTGGTGGGAAGCAGCCCTTGCAAGATCCCGTCCTGGGTAGTAACCACCCTGTGTCTTGGGAGCCCACGGTTGATGGCCAGGACGAAAACCACCGTGGGCCGTCAAGGCTCGTGGGGGTGAAGATGGTGGTGCCGTAGAAGGCCAAGTCCTAGGTTTTCAGCGGTCGAATTCGGAGAAGTAGGGCATGAATACTCCTGGGTCCCAAGTCAGGGTACATCTGTATTGTATATATATATACACATATATGTAGATATGATATACTGCATAATTACACCGCTTCCCAAAGGAAGCAAGGCTGAATGGGTGGAAGCGGCACTGGGCCTGTGTCTAATCTTCTTTGCAGGGTGGTGAGCTGAGGCTTATTGTATCCCACTTGGTTCATGTTCACCTATCAGCAATAAACCAAGGAAATGTGCGTGTATTTTTTCAGGATGGTTTGCGGGTGCCAATTCAAGATTGGTGGCTTTTCAGGGCTACTGACTAGTGTCTGTCCTCTTCAACAGTGACGATCAGCTATATGACATTATATAATAACTATATATATATATTTATCGCAACCTCATTTGCGTTGCCTCTCTGGGCCGAACAATTCATAGGGTAAACCAGGAGAAAAAACAAACGTCTAGTGCACAGGAAAACAGCAGGACACTGAAAAACATATCGCAAACATATCGCAAAGATATTGGTGTTCTTGACTTGATCCTTTCCAAACCAACCCTTTGACATCGCTTGGCTACAATCAACTGATGCGGTGATGCGCTGTGAGGGCTTACACTTTTTGGGTGTGCCATGCGCGCCCACCACACCCGGAAACCCCTCCCAGCAGCCAACCCATTCTGGGCCAAGGGTCATATAAAAACCAACAGCCTGCGGAAGGTGTGAGTGGGGGCCGGCGATCCATAGGCCGGAAAATACCCAATCACACTAAGCAAAACAACATGTTGATGGATTGCCAAAAGTTCAAAACAAAACAGTGCATCAAGTCATCAAGTCGGCCTGGTTGAACATATTTGGGATGGAACCGAACACGCATGTAGAATGTCTAAGTCCTCACTGTTTGGTGAGTCTCCGGGCCTCCTTTGCCCACGCATTCCACACAAGGTGAAAGCGAGAAGTTGGCACATCACCCCATGCCGGGCAGGTCAACTACAATTGGAATTGGTTCAACCAATGGACTTCGGCCGGACATTCAGCACCAGGAAGTTCCACCAATGTCCGGATCAATATAGAAGTTGATCAAACAAAATTACAAAATAATTCCAAAGTGCGCAACAAAGGACAAAGGCTCTTGAGGAGATGTCAAGGAAGTTGCCAAGATCTTCAAACAACGAGGGCATGGGATGAAACTACAGGATTTTCAGGACATGACGAGAACATCGCACTTGCCTCCCTTGTCCCCAGCCACTCCAGGCCGCCTGCCGTGCCAATCAAGGTCTTCACTACCTGATGATCGAACCCACGCCGCGACCGGCCGCGGTGCTGCTCCGCCGCAAATTCCTCCGAGTCGTGCGCCGAAAAGGAGGCAACCAGGACCAGCAGACTGAGCCGCGGGGGCAGTTGGCGACGGCATGTGGGTGGGTCAAGCAGCAACCCAGGCCAGCAAAGGTTCAACATGAGGCTGATGAAACGTACAGATTTAGGTTTTGCGGGAGGGAGAGTCACAATAAAAAGCAAGGGCCATGCAGGACTGTGAGGTTTGTAGGACTCTTTGGGCCCTGAGACCTCGCTATCCTCGCTCTGGTTCGATCTCTCGTGCCACCATGGTGCGCGGGTGCTGCACCCAAAGCGAAGAGCAGCCGGAACTGCAACTCAGGGACCCAAGGAGCCGGGCTGGGCGAGGAAATGACCGTCAACAGGAGCATGGCCACGAGGTAAGGTGCCAGCACACCGACGCTTTGGAAGAAGAACGCCTTGGAAGGGTGTGCGTCCATCGGTCAAGGAAGCGGTGCGTTCAAAAGATCAACGGTCCGTGAATTAAACAGTTTGACAAAGGAGGCACTTCCAGCGTAGATAAAAGCCAAGCTAAATAGACAACAAACACTGGATTGAAGGCCCAGTTTTCACGGTGTCCCTTTATCCTATTTCTGGAACATGTGAAGCCTGGTAAGTCGGTTCAAACGAAATTGTGGAAACTGCCCACATCCATGTGCAATTGAAGACCGAGCACAAACACAAACAACACAAAATAAAAAACAAAAACACCGTCTGTCCGTCCAGGACTCTTGTGCCACATGCTTGCCTTTCTCCGACGCGTCCTGGTGGACTCGCGTGTGGCAACCCCCCCCGAAAACGCCCACGAGTGGCTCAAATCCCGTGGTCATCAGGGTTGTCCAAAAGAGTCTGCTTGGGATTGGTAGCAAAAGAGTCTGCTTGGGCGACCTTAGGCAATCTACAGGTGGTTGGTGACCCAACAATACATCTTCTCCGCTACACGGAGGCGTCCTAAATTGTTGGGGGCTGTTGCATTTGAAGGTGCTACCCGGACATGGGAAAGATCCGGAAAGTGCCATCGATGGCTAGCAAACTCATTGAGCACCATCTCCTGGTAGGAATTGTTGTCCCACAGTGCCGACAAACAACACAAGATCGCCCTAGGACACCATGCAGCTCGAGGGGCCAAATCATCTTGATCTGTTCTACTCAGTGACTACCAACTACACTATCTGAAAGTTGCAAACCAAACAGGAGAACAAAGGACAAATTCTAGGCTTCTATAGGCAGGATTTTAGGAATAGAAAAAAAGAAGAAACCGGAATTGGAAAGCAAAGAGGGAGTAGAACAACAAAAAACAAGAACAACCTATGTATCCAGAAGCAAGTATGCTGTTCTGGACTAATAGACTCACCGACAACAAACCTCAGGATGCGATGTCTTGTGCTTGGTGAACAACACAAAACAAAAATCCAGGGAAGGCAAAAGCCTTAACAAAAACAATGTGCATCTGGTAATAAAGGGCAATAGCAGGTCTGTTGTTCTGGTTCTATGGCCTTCCTATGCCCCTCAAATGTACAGTAACTATTTTCATATGTTTCACAAATGTTGCCATTGTTAGCGCACTAGATATTCAAACATCTGTTGGATAAGGTGTTTCTTGTTACTTGTGCCACGTGGTTTCAATGTGCCCTATGATGTTGGTCCTATGTTATCCCTATCGTGCTGATTTGTCCTATGTTCGGGTTATGTTGACAATGTTGGTCGATATGATTCTCAAACAAAGGCAAGCTGTTGAGGACATCTCGAGCATAACTAGGAGCAACAAAAAACATAGGAAACAACAAAAAATACGATATGAACATGATAGGTAACACAGAAAAATAAAGGAACCAAATTCATCAAGCACATAAGAGAAACAAATAGGGCCAACACACAAACATAGAAATAGGGCTGGATGTCCCCACCCTAGAATCCTACGTCCTAAGTCCGAGCCTAAGTCCTCTAGCTGGATACGCGTTTCTTGTTTGCAGCCCTGAAATCCTTCTGTTTATTGTCCAAATCTTCCTTTAAACAGGCACATGTCAAGGAACAATAGAAAGTGCAACAGTCTATGCAATTTATCAAGTATGTAATATATCACTATCTATATAATATATAGATAGATTATATTCATTACATTAACCCAACATATAGCGATCGCAGCATTGCAACAAACTGCGTTCCTCCCTCCAATCCCACGTGCTTAGCACCCGTTTCTCCTCCTTTCTTTCTCTTCTTTCTCCCCTTCCCAACCCTGCACCGGCCCACCGAGGTCTCGCCTCGCAACCTTCAGCGGAGCTGACCGCGCTGAGCGGGTAGATGCCACCCACGCCGACACCCAGCAGTAGACGGCCCAGCAGCACAGTGCCATAAATCGAGCCCGAGGAGCCGAAGGCCAAGGCGGGGATCACAGCACCCAAGACCGTGAAGGAGAGGGTGACCTGATGGGAAGAAACAAAGCGACACCAGTGAGTGATAAGATTTATGCAAGTAGCTCCAAAATTCCGAAATAGTTCTACAATCAGTATAATCAGTGTCAAAATCTTTCGAGTTCTATACATATATATATATTTATACATGCCACTTCAGCCACCGGGATATTGAATCCCTCCACCTCCACCTTCAAAACGTAACCGTTGCGCAGAACACCAGGCCTGCATGGCCCGCGTCCTCCCCAAAGTGTCGCCCAGGCGACCCATGCCCAACATGCCCAGCATGGCGCCCACAAAGACTGCTGCCGGGGTGAAGTCTTTGCCTCGAAGGGTGGAGGTGAGATCTCAGGAGTGGTGGAAGGTGCGAGCACAAGGGGGAGGCCTGACATGAGAGCTGATCAGGGGTCGAGCTGAGATGGTTGAAGCCTAGAAGCTTCTTGGGAACCACCCCAGCTCCAAAACAAAAGACTGCCAGTTGTGGCAGCCTAGTTGCTCCACTGAGGCTCCACATGCAGTGGATAGCCCAGGTACTGCGGATCGCTCAAGATGCTTGCGGCGGCGGAAGCAGAATTGAAGTTGTACCTCGACCCGCGTCCGGCCGAGCAGCCACCGGTGATTAGGGGGTAGGGTGGCATCTCGCAAGCCACCGGTCAAGTGTGGCACTCAACCACAGGATTTGTCTCGTGGCTTTGAGCCAGCACTTTGAGAAACACATCCTGCCTTGGACCAATGAACCTCATCGAACGATCAGTTGAGGCTTCGTTTGATGCTTCTTGGAAGGCGGTTCCTGGTTCGTCGTTGGGTGGACCAACGAGAGAACTGAGAACCCCTCTGAGTTCAACACATTTTCTCACCCTGATTCAGCCTGTTCATTCGTGCGGGTAGCCCATGTAGAGAGAGAGAGATGGGAGAAAAGGCTGAAACACAAACTCTATATATAGTTCAACCAAAACTTCACCATCCAATCCACCTTTCCCATCTGACATTGATGGTTGTCCGTCCAACTCGACATGGCGACATGATCACCTCGCCCAGCTGCTGAACACTGAAATTCCCCACCGAGGGGATGAAATTGCTCTCCTTCCGCCGCCCCACCATGGCACTTTGCTTGCGCGATTGCGGGTCGCGCAAGGAAGGCAGCGGGAATGCTGGTGAGGTGAGGTGGATTGTGAAAAATGGTGGGCTCTTCGGGGAGGCTAGGTTCATCAGAAGTGGAAGCGAGTGAAGGGCATCAAAGGGAGCCTTGTGCGACTCAAGGCACGCACAGTCGGATTTTGGCGAACTTTTGGCCAAGCCTTTCAATATCAATATCAATATCATGCATCCTTGACGTGTATTGCTCCCAAGGGGCAAGCCCTGAAGTGAACCAATCATGGGCAATGGGGGGCGCCCAAGTGACTCGAGGAGCGAATATCTTGCTGACTCCGTGTTCTGAACGTGTCCAGTCCGTCTCTGAAGCTGGTCCACCCAAAACGCTATCTGTCGCCCTAAGCCGGTCTCGCTCGCTGTTGCCGAGTTCTCGGCGCGATGAAGTTGGTCTCATCAAGAACTCTCTGCTTGGCAGGGTGACCACAAAGCTTACCAGGAACTATCTCACTGTTAAATGAATGGACTTATGATGCGCCACTTGATGTTCAGGCTTCGCACTGGTTGGATTCCTGCGTGCGACAGGGTCTTAAGCTCATAACGCGGCTCGATGGCTGAAATAGCTGCGAGGTGCTGCGAGCATTCCGTGAAGCAGTCGGAGTAGCTGCTGCAGCCATTGTGGTCCCCAGCCCCACCCTCCAAAAAAAATTGTGCCATCTATTTCACTTCAAAGCACGTGTTTGCCATTGTTGCCCCATGCCTTCCTCCCCGCCCTCCCCATCCCACTACCACATATTATATAAAACACACACACACACATATAATAGATAGAAAAGTAAACTCCCTTTCAACATGTATTGGACACCGTTTCTATCTATTTAAGGGACCATGGTGACACCCAGAGTAGTGCAGCTTGAGCCACGGTGGGCACGTCGTACCATGAGGGTCCTGCGCACGAAGTCCCAGCACAAATCGCCTCAGACTCCGGCCGAACCGGGCGGGCAGGCCTTCGGGAACATCGCACGAACTCAGTGATGTAACATCGCACGAAAGTCTTGTGGGATATCCTGTCTTCATTGGAGCAGTTACAGCAGTTACACTGCTTAGTGAACTGAAATGACGCCTCCCTCAGTCTTGCTTAAGGTTGTCCAATGGTGCAAACAGATCCCACCACAGACGAAGACAACTATTTCATGTACATGAATGAATCAAGCCATCCAGCTAGCCCTTTATGTCAGAATGTCTGCAGAGCTGACATGGAACCCAAGTTCTGAAAGGGACGCCTGCAATAGAAACAAACAGCAAGCCCAAATGCCGGTCATTCAATTCCCCAAAAGGTTACGCAGGCGATCCGTGAACACGGCTGTGGCTCGCTGATGAGCTCCCCCACTGAGTTCCTGTGGCTTTGTCTCCACCGCGGGAGGGCCTGATTTGGGTCGCTGAAAAGGAACAGGATAGTGCACGAAACTATGCAAGCGTGCCTTTACTATTATTGAACGTTTGTTTATTTCTCTTCTCCTTCTTCTTGTTGTTTCTTTGTTATTACTATGTTCGTATTGTTTATTCTTGTTTGTTGTTATTGTTATGCATTATTTTTTGTTTATTTTTCCTTTTCTCCTCTCTCTGGTGTTAAAATATCTGTGGTTCAAGGGCACACGGAGTGGTCAACGACCAAGTTCCTGGACGCACTTCTAACGAAGCGCGTCACTTTTCAAGCACACGAAGCCAGTGACCCCTGCACCAATGTACGGAATTCACCTGTGAACAACCTTTGGGGGTTGAGTTGGTGGAGATCATATTGATCCGCCACTCGTTGCGAGATCCTTAGCCTTCCAGGCAAATGATGACACTATATATATATATATACCCTCTCCCTGAAACAATGAAGTAGAATATACCTGGTCCCTGGAAGATCATGTGCCTCTATCAAATCTTTGTATTGGGGATCTGTCCAGCTTAAAGCTTCTGCGATCTGTGATTCTTGGCGGGATCCGTCTTGATGCATGCGTCTTCGGATCCGCCCTCCGCTGCAGGGAACACCGAATCGGACTCGGCGGATCACCCGCAAGCAGGATGAAGCTCTGCTCTGCGTGGGGGGTGTCCTTTAGATCAAGGAAATGGATTAGCCAAGCCAAATATAGTGGTTTCAGAGGTTCGGTGGCACGCCTGGTGCCCCCAGACGTCGAAAGAACATGGGGGGTCCATAAACCACCAAACTTGGATATTTGTATACACTGAATGGTTATGGACTCACCATAAACCACCACATATACCATACAGTGGACCGTGGTCACATATACTGGTGTGTGCATGTTTGTGCCATTTACTCTGAAACCACTGATGATACTGATGTGATCATGTGCCACACCAAACGAACGGCACCGTCCGCCGTGGCCCGGACAAACTCGGTCGATCTCCTGAAGGCGATCGTGGACAGCTCTGCGGCGATTACGGCGATGACATAAGGAAAGAACATGCAAACACCAAAGACACATGAGGGGGGGCATGTTTAGTGTTTACATGTTTGCTTGCTGCAACACATCATTTGGTGACTCTAGAGTTTTGGAAAGTGCGTGTGTTTCACTGAGTCACCATCAAAGGGGGAGTGCCAATGCTGTTTGCAAACACTGACGCATGAGCGTCGGCTCTCAGTTTGGCGTGCACTAATCGTGTCGAGAAGGCAGCTGAGCTAGGAAGAAGGGGGTCATATGGGGAAGGAGTACAACGATGGTGTGATTGTATAGTCGTTCTTTCTGTCATGGCCCCTCACAACGATCAGCTGAATCTCAGAAGTCTGCAAGGCTGAATCACTTCATAGAACAACACACATCATCCAGCACCGGTCCATCACCTGCCTTCCATTCTTCAGCTTTTCATATTTGATCATATGTGTTACAAGTTACAATATATTCTCTATGTAAACAACACCATCCCCGCAGCATCCCTCCCTCCGCTCACTCCATCCAATTGGCTCCGTCCTTCAGCAACAACTGCTGCTTCATTTCCGTGGACCGGTGTGGGTCGCGCTCCGAGCAGCGCGTGGCGCCCGGGCCCAAGTAGACTTGAAGCAAGGTCCTCCTTGGGAGAATCAACCCCAGCAGCTTGGGGGAAGAGATGAGTGGATGGAGGTGAGCCGAGTGGATGGATGCGGTATGGGGTGGGGTTGGCTGCCCGGTCGAGTCAGGCCTGCTTGGCTCAGCTGGTCGTCACTCGCCGCGGTGGGGTCATCGAGTCCGATGAACTCGAGTTCGATGAGGTGGATTTAGAGGGCTAAGCCTTAAGCCGGTTTGCCATGGCTTGCCATTACACACCCCACGAAATTCAGGGGTTCAGGTCTTCAAACTGCTTGTTCCGCCCGGTGGCCGCTTGGAAACACCCGTTCCTGGGGCCTCCGGCCCTACCAGCAGCTGATACAGAGTCATGCCCATGCTCCACACATCGGCGTCCACCTGATTCGATCCGGATTCGAACGGGGTTCGTTCTTGGGGTGTCGTGAAGGGTTTCCCCTCTGGGACTTATAGACGTGATGTTCCTGCAATTAGACTTATTTGACTTTCCCCTCTGGGCCGTGCCTAGATGGCCGTGCCAGGTTGTCGCCATTAAACCACATACACACACAATTAGACTTTCCACTTAAGGATCCTTAGAACAATTTTTGGGGTCACCTAGCTACTAGGCACTGCTCCAAAGGGTTTGCTGAGTCGCTGAGAAGGGCGGGCGAGGGAGTCTCAGAACCCATCGGCTCCTAAGGAAGTACGGTACCAAGATGCAAAGAAACGTCTCTAGGTCAGAAGACCCTGAGGGGTGGGTAAATTGGTGGGTGGTGTACGGGGTGCCTATAGAAGTTGACATGTTCAGAACGTGAAGCTGACCACCAAGCACCTTCTTGGGGAACAAGTCAGAAAGTGTCCACAAACGAGCTGAAAAAAAGAGCTTCGTTCTAAAATCGATTAAAATCGTAATCCAAATCGCTTCATTTCATGAAATCACCGAGTCCAAGGACGCCACACGTTGAAATGGGCCATTCTGAGACCTTCATAGAACATCCAGGATGGCATCAAGGAAGTAAAAACTGGAGCGTTTCTGAAATCCAACTGAATCCAGTGAACTCTCCGGGGATTTTCCGCTAGTTACCAAGCCACCTTCCTGCTCCTATAGCTCCTTGGCTGCTCGGTCGGCGGAGCGGTCCGTTCGGCGCCAAGGCACGTCTTGCGGCTCCTCAGCGAAGCAAAGGGTGTGGGCGGTATAGGCTTTTGGAGGCTGACCGACTCGTGCTTAGTACCAGGTGGGTCCGGAATGGTCTTACAAGGTCCTTCCTATACGGTATTGTAAGGCATCTATAGTGGAGGGAATGGAGGAATGGTAATGAAGCCTAAGGTATCTATAGTGGAGGGTCAGCCACCTTCATTCCCTGTGAGGTCGCAACCAGTCAAAGGTCGGGAGGCTGTCTGGTCCAAATGGCCCATCCAGGCTGGAAGAATGACTCTTCCACACGGTGGATGGTCTCTGCATGGAAAAAATCGCGTGTTAGCTTTGTGTGAAGCTTGCG